ATCTGGTTTTAATTTTTAATTTTTATTTTCTATTAACCATTAAGCAAGCAATTATTTTAGTTCAAACTAGTACGATGCCCGTGCGATGCACGGGAGCATTAATTATATATATATTTTTTAAAAGATATTTTTGTATTTAAATTGTCTCATGCCATTAAAAATTTCATGAAAATAAAATTTATATGTTATTAAACACTTCCTTATGTGCAACATTATTGATTTGATTCTTTGGCACGTGAAGTACTACATAGGTGTTCGAATTTATCCAAAATTGCATATTATTAGTTATTAGTTTACAAATTTTAAAAAATTAAAGGATCTTATTTATTGAACAAAATTAAAGTAGAAAAAAAAATAAATTTTTTTAGGGTTTTTCACCCATTATTTATTTTAAATCTAATTCTAAATTTCAAGAAAAATTGAAAAGAATCATTAGTTAGTCCCGAAAATGAAACCGATTTTCTTACCAATAAACTGATTTTTTTATCAAACAAGTTGATCCGATTTTTTTTTTAAACCAAATAAAAAAATCATCAATTTTTCCTAAAAATGCAACCAAATTTTCCTAACATTGCACCAATTTTTGTACCAAACAAATTGAATTGAAAATAATTCTGATAAAAAATTGAAATAAATTGTTAATGTTTATGCAACTGTCTCTTTCCTACATAAAATGATATGAACTTAACCAAAAAAAAATTGATATGAGCTTACCAAAATCTCGGTAAAACATGGTTAAGGAAAAACATAAGAATCCAAAAAAATCGATGCATTTAAATTTTGAAAAGTTGCACATAATTTTTCCTAAATAACTGGATAAAGTGACTTTAAATATCAATGATGAACCGCTTTTGTTACCAAAAAATGTGGACACAATTTTGAATGTACATCCCGTCCAAATATCAGTTTTATTTTAAAATAAAAATTGCATGTGGCTTTATTCAATTTACACAATTTTTTTGAAAGAAAAAATTATTCAATAAGATTGAAAGAATTGATTAAGAATTATACAACTATTTGTTTCCTAGATTTGTATCAAATTTCCACGGTTTTTAAATTAATTTGTATTTAGAATTGTTTTCATAAATAATTGACACATTTTTTCATTTTTTGCATAAGAATCTCCAAATTTGTTACCAAAAAAGATATGATTTAATTTTGGTAAAGAAATAAAATATGATACGAAAAATATGGGATTCAAATTTTGCCATAAGAATCTCCAAATTTGTTACCAAAAAAATAGGATTTAGATTTTGTTACTAAAGATTCACATGTGTTTTTTTAACTTTCTATTAATAGTAAGTCAGACATTATATTTATTTGGTCAAACTTTCTATTAATGTATTTTTTCCAATAACCTTTTTATATATATATATAGATATAGATATAGATGGGTCAAATTAACCTCTGTTCTTTGCCTATTCATCCTTTTTAGCCATTTTGTTTTTCATAAACATTATTTCAGGATAGTTGCATTGCTTGGTCCAATCACATTTTATGGCCTTGAAAAATAAATGGCTAAAAATCATCATATTTGGCTAGAAATATATATTTTGTGGCCTTGAAAAGGAAAAACGGCTAATTTGAATGCTCGTGCAGGAGTTTGAGTCTCAGGATAGTTACATTGCTTGGGGAGGAAGTGTACGTGGAGGTGGAGGCAAGACAATCGACTGATTATCAATCGAACCCCCAAATTTTCATTCATCACAAGAATGAATGATTATTTTGTGAAAAGCCTTTGATCAGCCATTGATGATAATTGTTATATCATCTGAAAAAGAAAAAAAAAAAAAAAACGAATGCTTTTGATGATCTTGTTTTGATGAATTAGGGGCATAGATCAAGTAATGTTGTAATTATGCTGTTGTGTCAATATACTCTGCCCCAGCATGAAACTTCACTTTGGTGCCCTTTTTGTGAAGTGTGATGATGTCTGAATTTAAGAATTGCATTTTGCCAGGCTGGCATGTTTTGATCATCTTCTAGTGTTTTTTATGGCATTTGTTGGATAAATGTACACTTAAAACTGCCTCAGATCTTTAGATAGATTTCTACTTAGTGATTTGGACATGTTTTGTCTGAGTAAAAGGACAGGTTTTGCACAACTGGTGATGATTCAAACATTCATGAGCCTGCCCTTTTTATTTTCTTTTCTCAACTCACAATAATTACATTGTCGTGTGTGCTGGAAAGATTTCAACTTTTATTTTTTAAATGAGGCAAGAAAATGCACAGAAATTCATTGGGAAACATCTATAATTGAGTAAGAGTTTGTCAATTCAGAAGTTGCCTTACTTATTACAAGCACGTAGCATGTTTTTAAAGTAAGGACTGGATTGGATAAGGGAATATTATTAATTGAGATACTTGAGCAAGTTACTACGTACATCTATACTTATATAATAAGAATTAACATTTATCTAAAATATTAGGTTAAATTATGGTCAATGTCGGATTTGCATTAAATATTTTTCAAAACTGGTAAGTTTTTGTCCTTTTCACATTTTTCATTAATTATGTCATTTTCACACTTCTCATTAATTATATCTTTTTCACACCTCCAATTAATTCATTAATTACGACATAATTATCATAAATCATTCCATCTAAGCTTTTATCGTGAAATTCCATCTAAGCTTTTATCGTGAAAATGTATAGCGATTTGTTATTACCTTATCCCATTGGTATTTTCATGAAGCGTCCTTATCGCGTTCTATTTTTTGGCAACCACTCTATATCAATAACCGGATATTTGGTTAATGATAGCACATGTCTTTATTTCAAGGAGCCGATATTCTTTGACATTTAATTAATCTGAACTGATTGCCTTGACTTTTAAATTTTTAAAAACTCTTTTTTTAAATATTTCGGCTTAAGATTCGGATTTCATTATACAAGTCAACGGATTGTTTGAATGAAAATGAATGAAAAGAACACCAACAACAGGTAGCCTTATTCATATAACCAATCCTAAAATATTAGTTTGTTCACCAAAAAGAGACAAATCTTAGAAATCCTAAAATATTAGTTTGTTCACCAAAAATCAAGAGTTCCACTCGCTTATTCACCGAATTCCCTGACTAAGCCAACTACTTACTAAACTCAAGTCTGTTGGTAGGTTGGGTTCCCTTCAAAAAGGGGCTTCGTAGCTGACACCAAGCACATAGCTAAGCTGGCGGGAAAAGGCGAACAGAGACCTAAAATATAGACAGAGATTAGTTTGATTTTTAGGATTTGTCTCTTTTGAAAATATTAGTTTGTGATAATGAGGAGTTACCAAATAATCAAACTCATAATGTTGTGTACAAGGAGGTTTTTAATAATATATGATTGTTACCGAACTTTTTATGATTCAACAATGTTCCTATGTATTTTAATGATTTCAATTTCGATTCTAATGCACGTAAGGTTATATTATTCTTCCAAATTCTACATCCCGTGCATCGCACGAGTTACGTACTTATTCTCCAAATAAATATATCCCGTGCTTCGCACGGGTCACGTACTATATATATCCCGTACATTTTTCTTTATTTATGTATATAATTATAAGCCTGGATAAATAGCCTTAAAATTGTGCACCCGCACGGGCTCTGTACTAGTGAGAGCTAGAGAGATGTAAAAGCCTAGCAATTGAAAAAGAACAATTTATATATAGAATGGGACATATATAGTTTTTTCATCATGTGATATCATAAATAAACATTATAATTTTTATAATACATAGTATATAATGGACCTAAGCTACTACACTCGTACCTCGAGGTACATATGAGACCATCTATAAGGTTATTTTAAATACTCAATTGCTATTCACCGCCCCCCCTTTTACTAGTCACCGCCCCCCCCCCCATTTACTCTTTTGCCCTTAACCCTTTTTTGGATTTCATCTCTCTAAACTTTATCTCTCTAAATTTTCCGAACTTCAACGAACGATTCGAGCATAAAAAAAAATCCGAAAAAATGTCGAAAAAATTCTACGGCCTCGGCAAAGGATTCTTCTCCAACAAGGTAATTTTTTTTTTTTTTTTT